GTACCCCCTCCATGCCGATCATCTCCTTCAGCTTTGTGAGTCGAAGATGTCCGAGCGGCTTGGTGAGGACGTCCGTGAGTTGTCGACCAGTTTCGACGAACTCGATGATGATCTGCCCTCCATCGACACAGTCCCTGAGGAAGTGGAACTTTACGTCGATGTGTTTGCTCCGGTCGTGCAGAACCAGATTCTTTGCGAGGGCGATGGCGGGCTGGTTGTCCACCATCAGTGCTGGTGGGCGAGCTTCTGCACTGGTCAGCTCACCCAGTAGCCGGCGTAGCCACATAACTTGGCATGCCGCTGTGGCTGCCGCTATGTACTCTGCCTCACACGTAGATAGCGCCACCACCTTCTGTTTCAGCGACAACCATGAAATTGGAGCCGACCCGAGGAAGACGAGCACTCCAGAGGTGCTCCGCCGTCCGTCGATGTCCCCCACCATGTCTACATCGCTGAACACAGTGAGCTGCATCCTACTCTCATCGGTCTTGGGAAAGATGATCCCCTGATCCACCGTCCATTTGACATAGCGCAGTAGCCACTTTACTGCAGCCCAGTGATCCTCTCTGGGATCCTCCATGAAGCGACTGACGTAGACCATGGCGAACGCAATGTCCAGCCTCATGTGGACTAGGTAGCGCAGACCGCTGACGATGCTCCGGTAGAGTGTTGCATCCACCTTCGCCATGGTGCTAGCCTTCATCAGCTTCAGCCGCTCCTCCATCGGAGTCATGCATGGCTTGTACTTAACCATGCCACTTCGCTCCAACAACTTCGAGGCATACGCGCTCTGACTGAGCATGAGTTCCTCCTTCCCCTGTCTCACCTCGATGCCGAGGTAGTAGGAGAGTGCGCCAAGATCGCTCATTCAAAAATGGGCCGCCATCTCGCGCTTGAAGCCATTGATGTCCTCTATGCATGCACCAGTGACGATCAAGTCATCCACATACATGCCGACAACGAGCTCCTCCTTCCCCCATCGTCGCGTGTAGAGCGCATGCTCGGTTGCGCACTGCTGAAACCCAAGCTTGCTCAGTGTGGCATCAAGCTTGGCATTCCATGCTCATGGGGCCTGCCGCAGCCCATAGAGCGCCTTGCGCAGTCGGAGCACCCTGTGCTCCTCTCCCTTGACGGTGAAACCTAGAGGTTGCCTGATGAAGACCGTCTCCACTAGCTCATCGTTGAGGAAGGCTGATTTAACGTCCAAGTGATGGACGCGCCAGTCCTTTGCTGCTGCCAAGGCTAGTAGCAAACGGATAGACTCCATGCACGCTACTAGTGCAAAGACTTCCTCGAAGTTGATGCCCTCACGCTGAACAAAGCCTCAAGCGATGAGGCGTGCCTTGTGTTTGACAATGGCACCGAGCTTATCCCGTTTGACCTTGTACACCCACTTCAGGCTAATTGGATGGCATCCTGGAGGTGGATTGACGAGCTGTCATGTCTCATTTTCCTCGATCGCCTTCATCTCCTCTAGCATCGCCCGTCGCTAGTTTCCGTCGCGCTCGGCCAGCGTGAACGTGGGTGGTTCCTCTGCACTGACGAGCAGTAGCTCTTGATCATTGAGCAGCCGACCAGCCAGGCCTGAGGACCCTATGCCACCGATGATGTCGTCCAGCCTGTGGAACCGCACCTCCTCACCTTTGTGGAAGGCATCCACGAAATCAGTGATGTCACTTGGAGGTGAGACGAACTCAATCAGTGTTGATGGAGTCCCTATTCCGCCTGAGTGCTCGGCACCCCGGTTGTAGTGCTCGTCACTACTCCTGAATAGCTCGTCACTACTCCTGCAGTGCTCAGCACCACTGTAGGAGTGCTCAGCCTCAGTCTTGGAGTGGTCGGCACCACTGTAAGACCTCTTGGCTCCGCTACGGGAGTGCTCGGCACCCATCCTGGAGTGGTCATCACCACTGCAGAACCTCCCGGCACCACTCTTGGCGTGCTCGGCATCCCTCCAGAAGTGCTCGACACTCCTCCCTGAGTGCTCGGCATCCCTCCTGAAGTGCTCGGCATCGCCCTAGGAGTGCTCAGCTCTGCAACTGGAGTGCTCGGCACCCCTTCCAGAGTGCTTGGCACACCCCCGTGGATGACCAAGTGCTCAACGACGAAGGTGCTGGTGAAGCCGCCAGCTTCCCCCGTGCTCAGACTGGTTCAGTCCCAAGCCACCTTCTCGTCGAACATGACGTTGCGCGAGACAAGCACCTTGTCTCCGCGTGGGTCGTAGAGCCGGTACGCCTTGGTACCCTCTGCGTAGCCCAGGAACACCATCGGTGTGCTCCTGTCCTCCAGCTTGGTGAGGATTGGCTTCGTCTTCCTGACGTGGCCGATGCAGCCGAATGTCCAGAGGAAGGACACACTTGGCTTGCGTCCATACTAAGCTTCGAACGACATCTTGCCCGTCAGGGCCTTGGTCGGAGCGTGGTTGAGGATGAACACCACCGTGGTCATCGCCTCACCCCAGAACCTTGCCGGCATGCCTTTGGCCTTCATTATAGATCGAGCCATGCCGACCACCATCTGGTTTCGCCTCTCCACCACGCCATTCTGTTGTGGTGAGTACGGCATGGTGTGGTGTCGCACCACACCCTGATATGCGTAGTACGCAGCAAACTCCACCGAAGTGATTTCGCCACCGCGATCAGTCCCCAGCACGCGGAGCTTCTTGCCGCTCTCGGCTTCCACGCGCATCTTGAACTTCTTGATTGCTGTTGCCGCTTCATCCTTGCTCATCAGGAGTTGTAGCCACATGTAGCGACTGCAATCATCCACGAACAGGAGGAAGTACCGCCGAGCACCGTTTGTAGCTGGCGTGATCGAGAGCGTCCTTCGCGCGATACTTGGCTGCCTTTGGGAATGGTAGCCTCCTCTGCTTCTAGGCCAAGTAGCTGTCACACAGCTCGCCTCTGTGCTTGATGTAAGGTAGCCCTTGGACCACCTTCTTCAGCCGACCAAGCGCGTCGAAGCTGAGATGTCCGAACCAGGCATGCCACATCCACGGTTCCTCAATGTGCCTTGCCACCAGACACACCGACTGCTCTACCTTCAGGTCAAGCAGGTTCAACTAGTTTAGGGACCTCTTCACCTTGGCGAGAAGTCGCTGCTCCCGGTCCCCGATCCTAAGGACTCCGTCCTTGATCAGTACCTCGCTACCGCGATCATCTAGCTGACCAATGCTGATGATGCTGGAACGCAGCTGCAGGATGTAATATACATCCGTTAGCGCACGGTGCTCCCTGTTCTGGCACCTAAAGATGATGGTGCCGCGCCCTTGGATTGCCACCCGTGAGCCGTCACCAAACTTCACCATACCGGTAACATCGTCGTCGAGCTCGGAGAAGGATGCCTTGGAGCCCGTCAAGTGGTTGCTGGCACCAGAGTCCAGATACCACCGCTACTCTTGGTCGGCGCCCACACGTCCGAGGTGGACTTGGGTGCTTGGTTCGTCGAGGTTCACAGCCTTCAGGGCCTTCCCAGGTCCTTCCACCGTCGTCACCTCTTCCTTCTCCTCGGCCTTGACATCGTGCAGTGCACAGAACGTCGCCATCAGGATAGTGGCCTCATCATCATCATCAGCTTGCGCCAGATGAGCCTCAGCCTTCTTCTCTTGCTTGCGATCTGGGCACTTCATTGCCCAATGACCCGTCTTCCTGCAGCGCCGATAGGCGTTGGGGTCAACCTGCTTCTTCTTCTCCGAAGAAGTCTTGCCGTGGCGCTTGCCATCGCCACCGTGGCTGGAGGAGGCTGCCTTCCCGGACTTCCTCCGAGCAGCCCACTCCTCTTCTGTCAGCAGCAGTTTGCCGCTGTCCTTCGTTGCTGTCGCCTGCTCAGACGCTCATCCACCGCCCGTAGACATCCCGTCACATCCTCAATGGTGAGGGTGGACAAGTCTAGCATCGTCTCTATAGAGATAGCGATCTGAATGTACTTTGTCGGCACATAGTGGAGGTACTTGGAGACCGCCTCCTCTTCGTCAATGGTGACACCGTGGCTCTTCAGCTTGCTGATGAGCGTCTGCAGACAGAGGGAGAAGTCCTCCACCATTTCACCATCCTTGAACTTGAGGTTGGAGTACTCTTGTTTCAGAAGCTGGGCCGTCGTCTTCTTTGCCCGGTCGGAACCGACGCGCATCGCCGCAATAGCCTCCCACGCCTTCATAGCAGAGCTCTTCGCCCCCAACGGCTCCCTGTATTCCACCGGTACAGCAGCGAGGATAGCCTCCAACACTGACATGTCATCTTCCTCATTGTCGGTGCCCTTGTCAACAGCATTCCAGAGCCGTCGGGCTCTGAGCTTGACCTTCATGGTCACCGACCACTTTCCATAGTTGGTGCGAGTCAGCGTCGGCGAACTGGTGCCGCTGACCTCCCGCACCGTGCAAACAACGACCTCCGGTCGTGGCTGGGCAGCCACAGCAGTGCCATTGCTGTCGCCCATTTTCGAACCGTTCGTCATCGCCAGCGGTTAGTCCGGCGATGGCGCTTGTACGGCTCTGATACCACTTGTTAGCCCACAGGATCACCGGCTTATGTGAGTTGACCACTCACCAGTCTTGCCGACCACGGCCGAGCATGACCAAGGTTGTCCGACCACACGCACTATGGCTAGAGGTTGAAGAAGAGGGAGAACAGAGCATACACACATAGTAGAAGCACCAACGTTGGCCAGAGCCCTGTATAGGAGATGGCAAATCTGAACTCTATCTGTTGAGTTGCAGTGACAAACTATATATACAATTCTATCTATCTAGTCCTAGTACAGCTGTCCTACTGTAACAGTGACTAGAAAATACAGCAGGACTGATTTCTGCGCCTGTTCCCTGTATGTGGCTACAGTCCAGCAGGTGAGCCATTCGGCGCCTGCCTCTACAGCGGCTACGATACCACAGCAGGGGACATTTTCGACGCCGTCTTCCCTTGTTATGTATTCACACAAGGAAGCAGTAAATTATCAACAATCACCACAGGCCGGGCAATATGACTCCTCAACGGGTTTGATGTTTTTTAGCAGAGATTTGCCCTATAGTTCAACCTGTCAAAATGAAGAAGCCAACCAAAGAATTTGATCTTCCCTGGGAGTCTGCAGGACCAGATGAGTTTGGGCCCTTCCAGGTCAACATCGTCAGCATGGAGGAGCTGATATGCTCCACGGCTTGTGAAGGGGGGCAAGCCAGAGCAGAGCAGCCGTCTCTGGTCCGGGGAGTGAAGAAGTTGGGTGGTAGCAACGGTGTCCAGGAGGATATGGAGTTCATTCGTTGCCTGCTGCGATAGTCTGGGCTGAAGGAAGCTGGAGAGGCCGGCAGTCAGAGTGTCGTGAACATTGGCAAGAGTTCTGCTGCAGTGGGAGAAAAGAGCAGGGAAACACACAGCAAGGCTGTGGTCACCGATCCACTGATCAAGCCAAAAGGAAGTGCTGTGGCCGTCACCAAGGAGGACAGACGTGATACGGCGAAACCCGGGCAGCTCTTCTTGAACAATATGGCCCAGGAAGGAATCCGGGTCACCCGCCCAAAGGTCACGAGGGGAGTGGAGCTGAAACCAGGTTTTCCAGGGGAGAGTGTCGGGTCCAAGCAGCTTATGAACGAGCTTCATGAGTAGGCAGTGATTTTGGTCCTCAAGGATCCTGACGCCAAGCCCACCGGTGTTTTTGGCCAGGCAGACGCGATCCCATGCGTTAAGGCATTGCGAGCCATGGCACTTCTCCCCACCGGACCAAAGGAAAGCACGCCGGCGGCTATCAATCATTTCACGCATAGTTTTGGGAAGGAGGATGGCAAGCATGTAGTGGATAGGAAGACCGCTGAGCACAACGTTCACAAGGATGACCCGGCCACCGGAGCTCAGAAGTTTGGATTTCCAGCCAGCAAGGTACCGGTCGAAAGACGAGATGAGGGGCTGGTAGTCACTAACCTTAAGTTTGTGAGGGGAGAGATGGAGCCCAAGGTAAGGTTGTGGGAAGGAGGAGATGTCACAGCCAAGGATATTGGCCATCTCACTTGCAGCAGCAGCCTTTAAGTTCATCGGAATGAAAGTGGATTTGTGGAAATTAATGTGGAGGCCAGTGGCTAGGGAGAAGGCGTTGAGAATTTGACGGAGATTTAGAACCACGGCAATGTCACCCTTGAGGAAGATAAGGGTGTCGTCGGCGTATTGGAGGACAGGACAGGGTAGCCCAGGCGCAAGGGGATGGCAGATCTCACCGTCCGTAGAAGCTTTGTGGATGAGCTTCTGGAGCATGTCCGCCACAATAATGAACAGACAAGGGGAGGGATCACCTTGACGAAGCCCGTGACGACACTGGAACCAGCGGCCGGGGGTAGCATTAAGGAGAGTTGTCATGGCACGCCCAATGGTTGCTTTGCATCTATTCTCTTCTGAAAAGGAAACCACATAGGTGTCAAAACATGTATGGGTTACTATTCTATCCGAATTCAGCTTCAGTTGTCACCTAGAGCTCTTGAAATCACACAGTTTTCTTCTTAGATAGCATGAGAGGACTTACAACTGATCCAGTGTTTTCTTGGCTAGCGATTGGTCGTACATCACCTTCCCAGCTTGTCTATCTAATGCATTGCTGGTCTTGATTGCACACATCTGCACCACCTTTACACTCAACAGGATATATGATGTCGATGCACCCACCAAGTAGGTGTCAACATCACGAGGAAGCTACATCTGCACCACCTTATAGGAAAATGCAGTTAATCTGTATTCTTAAAGCTCATCAAGACGTAAAAGAAGATAGTTGCATTGTAAGTCACTGGGGATAAAATTGGAGTACTGATGATGCAGCATGCTGCAATGGACCTAAGAAACTAGCTCCTGGTTCTCAAAAGGAGAAATGAAAGGGAATAGAAAAAGATATAGATTCTGCACATGTGATTAAAGATGTTTCTAGAGCTCAAGCATGCATGATACAAATGCATCACTCTTTCCACTGATGAGACTACTTAATGAAGATAGTGATTCTTTTCTCAAGAAATAGGGTTTCATGACATGTGATTTTCATCTGAGACGTAAGCTTGTATTTTCTTCCTTTCCACTTAAATCTATTGGTTTAATTTAGCATACTCCCAAATCTGTTGAACTGCAACTCCTTGCTGCTGTTGGTATGATCTGCCGTCCATGTCGTATACTGGCCACCAATGAATAAATTTTGAGTGAAGACAGTGCATGGTAGCAGGAAATGTTAAAAATCTCCTGTGGAATAATTTGTTTTAAGAACATTCAACGGATTCCCCTGTGTTCTAATGAGCACAAAGCTGTGTTATCGCTATCCCCCTTTTATGGTCTGTCTTAGTTCTACCTAGTAATCTGACTTTGTTAAGCTGCACCGTCCCGTTAAACTGTAGCTGTAAATTTGCGGCTATGTTTTATTGGTTGTATTATATGATAGTTTGTAGGCTACTTTGCCACAGCTCTGTTTTCAAATGAGAATTAAGAAATGCCATGTCATTATCCTAACTGATTGGATTCTGATGTATTTTTAGAATAGTTGTTTTCTATGATTTTTTTGAGGAGTTTTTCTATGAAAAATTGGATTGCCTAGATATATGCAAAGGTTTTGAGAAGATTTGATGGTACCAAGTTTCAACTAGATATTTCTCTTTGAATGTTAGGATCGGTGTACAATTTTTTTTAAAAAAAAAGAGGTGTAGAACTCTTTAGAGATCTGGTAAAAAATGGGAAGTTTAACCAATTTGTGTTTTTATTGCAGGTTGCTTTGATCTAAAGCTATGCCGATTCAAACATGGGAACTCCAAAGTATTTATTACTTGAGCTTCCTATTTGGTTGTTAGTATTTTAACCTCTTCCTTTATCTAACAATATGAGTGATTATTGTGTGCTCATTTTGATCTAGTTAAATCTAGCAATTCAACACTTGGATGTCCAGTAGGTATCGTGTGTTGGTCAATGGCGAAATTTATTTTGTGGGATGTTTGTGCAACGACCTCTACGTGCACTTACGTATGTAATCAAACTAACTTGAATTGCTAAAAAGTGGTAGCACAACAACAAGCAATTCTTTTTTACTAACTTCTTCGAAGAAAGTGAACTTTTAAGCTCTCTCTCTCTCTCTCAATCTCCGTGTGCGTGCCCGCGCGTGCGTGAAATATGAAAAGAGCTTGTCTAGCTTGGATGCTTAATTATTCAAGAATTTACAGTTGCTGCAGAAAAATCTTTAATTGGTGGGAGAGAATTTGTGCCCTTCCGAAAACAAGTAGTAATTTAGGACTCGGGAAAATTTCATGTAACATAGCAGTCAAAACTAGACGCCCTCCTAGTAGGAAAGAAAATATAGTAAAATGTACAGAATTTACAGCAACCATCTCAGATTCATGGACCATGGGTGTACATTTAGAGCTGTAAGGATACCAGATCTCATCCTAGCATCCTACAAGCACGGTAAATATTAGATAAGATATGATCCTGCTGGTAACTGAGATTGGTCAATGTCATTTATAACTTGGACAAACGTAATCTATGTACCATTCTTTCAAATCCAATCTTGAGGCAGCAGTTGTTTAATGCAACATGGAAATGTGAGAATCATGGTGTACCTCTAGAAGTAGATTCGGGGTAAAGCCTCTTTCTTAGACGGGAAACTGTTGATGTACCTCGTCTTAGGTCACCGTTCTGTCCATGGCACCGCAGCGGCTTGGACGCCAGTGTGGAGGCAGCTCGGCGCGGTGGAGTCCGTAGTTGTGGCGAGGTCCAGTGGCGACGGCGGAGTCGGTGGGCTTCCCGTCGCTGGCAGCACTCGCTTTAGATCGGGTTAGGTTTACTATGGGTGGGATTATGGCGGCTCCGATCAACTTCGTTATCCAAGCCCAGTTCTCCATTTCTCTATTTATAGTGCTGTGCGACAGGGGCCCACCAACCATATTAGGGTTGGACGCCCCCGATCAGGGCGCAAATCCAAGGGCCCAATAAGCCGTTGGGCCTATTGGTGGAGATCAACTAACATTCTCCCCCTTGATCTCATTACTATTTTTCAATTTCATATCATTTACTTTTGTTCATTCCATTATAGATTAGCGCATAGAGCATATCTCATCGTCACGGTCCATTGCCGATAGATTTAACAGCTACAACACACTACTCTGTTCTGAAATAGATACTTATCTTTGGGCCTTCTTTTATCCAGCAATTTTAGGCTTTCCCTTAAACCCATGCTAGCTACACGTTGGATGGTAAGCCTTTTGTAAGCGGATCCGCGAGCATCTTTTCTGTACTTATATGCTCAAGACTTTATGACATGATTTCGGACTTTATCTTTCAAAACAATATACTTTATGTCAATGTGTTTGGCAGCATTACTTGACTTATTGTTGTGAGCATACTATACTGCCTGATTATTATTGTAGTATAACTTTAGTGGTCTATAGATGTCGTCAACCACCTTTAAAACCGGGTATGAACTTCTTTAGCCAGTTCACCTGCCCCGTTGCCTCATAACACGCTACAAAACCGTCATACATTGTGGATGATTTAGTGATGGTTTGCTTTGAGTTTTTTCATGAAATAGCTCCCCTGCGAGAGTAAATACATATCCAGACGTGGATTTTCTATCATCTCCCACATAATCAGAATCTGAATATCCCACTATATGGAGTGAATCAGATCTTCTATACGTCATCATGAGGCCTTTCGTTCCTTACAAATAATGCAAGACTTTCTTTACCAATTTTCATTGTTCTGTTCCAGGATTGCTCTGGAATCTGCCAAGTAACCCGTTAACAAATGCCAAGTCAGGGCGCGTACATACTTGAGCATATTGCAAGCTTTCGACAGCTGAAGCATATGTAACCACTTTCATTTGATCGATCTCATATTGGTTCCTGGGGCATTGAAAATCCTCATATCTGTCGCCCTTGACTATAGAAACAGGTGAGGGACTACATTTGTGCATACTGAATTTCTTTAAGATTCTTTCTATGTATGACTTTTGTGATAGTCCTAATACCCCTTTACTTCTATCTCGGTGAATCTCGATCCCTAGAACGAACGAGGCTTCACCAAGATCTTTCATATCAAATTTTGAGGATAAAAACTTCTTTCTCCAGTAGTAGACTGACATCACTACTAGCAAGTAAGATATCATCCACATACAGGACGAGGAAGATTAACTTCCCATTCTTAAACTTTGTATAGATATAATTGTCCTCTACATTCTCTTTAAAACTCAAAATTCCTTATTATCTGATCAAACTTCAAGTATCACTGTCTTGAAGCTTGTTTTAATCCATAAATGGATTTGTTTAGGCGGCATCCCATTCGTTCTTTTCCTTCCATGACAAAACCTTTCGGTTGTGCCATGTAAACACTTTCCTCCAAGTCCCCGTTGAGAAATGCCGTCTTTATATCCATTTGATATAATTCTAAATCGTAATGTGCCACTAATGCCATTATGATTCTGAAGGAATCCTTACATGAGACTGGAGAAAATATCTCATTGTAATCAATCCCTTCTCTTTGCGTAAAGTCTTTTGCCACAAGTCTCGCTTTATATCTCTCTATATTTCCTTGAGAGTCAAGTTTTGTTTTGTAGACCCATTTACAGCCTACTGTTTTGGCTCCTTTAGGAATTATTTTTAAGTCCCAAACTTTATTGGCATTCACTGATTTTATTTCATCTTCCATGGCCTCAAGCCACTTTGATGAATGATCTCTTCTCATGGCTTCTTCAAATGAGGTGGGATCATCCTCCATTTGAAATTCCTCAGTGTTGAACACTTCATAGTCAGCAGGAATAGCTGATTTTCTAACTCTTTAAGACCTTCTATGGGCCTCCACATTTGGCACATCTTCTGTTAGAGGCTGTTGTTGCTCCCCCTCATTTGTGGCAATAGGTTCTACAGGATCCTGAAGAACAGGTTCCTCATCATCATTCATTGTTGCCACAGGCGGAATAACAACAGGTGCTGACACCACAGTATCTTGCACTATCGGTGCAGCGACAACAGGTAGTGAGAAAATTGGCTCATGAATGATTGGAGTGGGCGCATACACCCGTTTCTCTTCAAGGTCAATTTCTCGAGCTACCATGCTCCCCCTCATCAATTCATCCTCTAGGAAGACAGCGTGTCTCGTTTTCACAAACTTTGTATGTCTCTCTGGACAGTAGAAACAAAAACCTTTTGACTTTTTTGGGTAGCCAATGAAATGACAACTTACTGTTTTGGGATCTAGCTTCAAAATGTTTGGGTTAAATACTTTAGCCTCAGCAGGGCCCC